ACTCCCCTTCTAATATACCCCAGGATGCCATCTCCAGATACCTCTGGCAACTTATATCGATATTCCTTTAGGAAATAGTCACTTAACTGTAATCTGTTTTACAATCCATTTTTCAAAGCAGAGATGCTGTTCAATAAGATTTCCTAAGTAGAAGAATTACTTCTTGAGGTTTTAAATAAATTAAGTGGTTGCTCAACACCATATTCTTTTAGTCATTTTTACCTTTACGTATCTTGAATTTGCTCTCGTTTAGATGGCCGTTATGGTCCTTTGGGGGCTCACAGTTTAAAAGGGATTTCAGAGAACTGAACTTCTTTTTTTTTTTACCAAAACAGATAAGTTAATGTTTCTTAGGTTGTACTTACATTGTGTTATGTCCGTATGTCACAGAAGTAGATCAGAACTACTGGAAGAGCATTGAATGTTGGTTAGCAGTGTCCTCGACAGGCTGTCTAGTTCAGCTTGGGAAAGGATTGACTGTTTTGCAGAATTTCTGAAATCATTATACTGCTCTTAAAACAAGGGAGAGGAAGAGAAGAACCCTCTGGAGATTCAGCAGCCTTGATACTCTGAAACTTTCTGCTAATGCCTAACTTCGAATATCCTTTCTTTGTGTTAATCTCATTCATATTCTGCCTGCACTAGGCACACAGGATGGGTTATTCTCTTTGCAGCTATCTTTTAGGTATTCAAAACTAACAACTCTACTTGAGGTTTCATTTCTTTTGACTAACTAGGTTTTCCAGTCTTCTGAAGTCTTTATTTTCTACAACACTTTTGGCTGCTCTTCTCTGGATTTTCACTAGTAGTCCAAGTAATTGTTAGCTTAGAATATTGTAGTATGGAATAGAATAACCCCACTCTAGCATAATGATTTTTCTGATTCTGTAGTACTTTGACTTACTCTTTGAAATGTTATGTAATCCAGCTGTATACATTTATGGAATTAAGTCTTTCTGTGATAGTTGGTTTCTAAAGATTTTTTTAGTCTCATTTTTGTAGGAAATAAGTTGCAGTGATCTAGAAAGCAAATTACAGAATGTTAGGGGTTGGAAGGGACTTCAAAAGATCATCTAGTCCAACCCCCTGCCAGAGCTGGAGTTCACAGAATCATAGAATCTCCTAGGCTGGAAGGGACCTTAGAGTTCTTTGTTTTCTTTACATGAGCTGGAGTGAGTTTGCTTCATGTGAGTTTCAGCAGAATGAGGTCTGTTAATCTGAATTCTTGTTCTGTTGGCTGTTCCTGGATTTTTAAGTAATGGACTTGTCTAAACTAGTGAAGCCAAGAAATAAAAGTTCAATTTTCCAACTAATTAGATCTGTCTTGAAAGGCAGAGAAAACTAAAGAAAGATTTATTGGCATCTTTTGCTTCATGATCTAGTTTTGTTATTTCTAGCCCTCTTGTCTCCACTTCTGTGCACTTAGCTTATGAAATTCCACTATATTCTTAAGCACAGACATACTGTGTTTGTGTAAATGCATGTGATAAAGCACTCTTTCAAATTAAACCTCTGCATCTCTATGCGTCCTACCTCATTTCTTCTGTAATCTCCTTGATGCACTAGGTTATTCAAAATCCGAAGCCTTCTCTCGTGCATGGAAAAGTCTTGGTTCAAATAACAAAGTGATCCCCAGCACTTATGATGTCACACACTTTGAAATGAGAAACAAACCAGAAACAAAAGTATAAGCAAAGCATAACTAAGCATAGCATCTTTATCTATCTTTTTTCATATATATATATGTATATATTTTATTGTTAGGAAAAATAGTGATGTTGTTGTTACTTTAGAAACTAGAATGCCATGGACAATTGCCAAGTCATGTTAAGTTTGTTTTGAGTATTTGATCTTTTGCTCAAGTTAAAGCAATAGATGGCAGAATAAACTGCAGAAGATGGTAAAATGCAAGGCTGAAATTAGTCTGAAGTTTATGTAAAGATCAGATGCTTCAGACTATTTTAGAATAAAGCATCTTAAGAAGTTTAAATAGGAAGATGTTTTTTTAAGGCACATAGTATATTGATTTTATTTAAAAGTGTATTGTCTCCCAAATTTTGCTTAGAAGCCAGATATATGTGCGAAAAGTTAAGTTAGTTATAAAACTAAGTTTGATAACTAATTTCTTAATGGAAATTTGCTAAGTGTATGTTTTCTCTCATCACCAGCAGATAGATAGTAAGGGCAGCAGCAGCAGCAAGCTGGCTCGATGAATGAGTGTAATTCAGTTTCTTTGTATTGTACAGCTTGAGAAATGCCAGTGGCCTGACAGCAGCAGACCTTGCACATACCCAGGGCTTCCAAGAATGTGCCCAGTTTCTCTTGAACCTCCAGAACTGTCACCTGAATCGTTTCTATAGCAATGGCACCTTAAATGGGGTTCATCAGAATGCAGGTCCCAACCCATTCAGTGGTGGGACAAGTCGAAAGAGATCTTTTGAAGATACGGAGTCTGCTGGAGTAAAGAAGGCTAGAACGGAAGGTGAGACCTCAGAGGTAAAAGGGGTGGATGGGGTGATACTGTTGCTGAGAAAGGAAAATAAACATTTTAAAGCCTTTCAGAGTGGACGTTGAGTGTTTTTGACAAACTCCCGTGCATACCTTAATTGTGTATTGGTACAAGAAGCGGATGAATTCAATTGATCCATGCCACAAGATCCCAGTTCTCCCTGTCATCATCTTGGTGCATTCAGAAGTTTGTTTCCAGAGAGTGCTCAAGTTACATGATGCCACAAATAATATGTGGAGGAGTAGGAGCTGAACTTAGCTTCTGCTCCCTCCTCAATTTCTTCTCCTTCAGGAGAGCCAGGTGATATGTTGATTCATGAAGATGCCCTGCTGTTGGATGGTAATTTTCCTCTTCGGGATTAATTCACAATTCAAAAATTGTTTGCTAAATAAGATGGATGAAAGAAATTCAATGCGCAAAGGTTTCTTAAATCCAGAAGGATCACTTGTGTAGTTAACATACCTTAAGTTTCCAGGATCATGTTCCAAGGGGAGCTGGTGTCTTACAGGAGGATATAATACTAGAATGAAACTTAAGGATTCCTTTTTAGCCTTGTGTGTTCAGGATACTGCTTGTTCCTCTGCCAGCAATACGCAATAGTAGTGCAACCTCTAAGGTATTTTTGGTGGCTCTATGAAGAAATCTTTTCTTACATCTTAACACCTTGAATAGCATGATAGTGGTTATCCTGTGCTTCATTTCTGTTGGTTGTCCCGTTAAATTCTTGCAAAAAAGAATGCAGCATTCTGCAGTCAAACCTGATTTCTTTTTCCCATGTCTGGCATCAGGAAAGGGACTTCGTAGGTCTTCATTGAAGACTCTTCAGTTAAAGTCTGTATTGTAACAGATGTGACTTTCAGAGAGCCAAATAAAAGGAGCTCAAACAGCACTTAGTTGCAGATAACAAGAGGGCAATTGAGACCAAAACAATGATTCTAAATATAACATGGATGACGTAAATTACATCAAACTTGACACTCTATTACTTGCTTTAGTACTTGCTATCTGGCCACCGTTTCAACAATGCCAGGGTCAGAGGCCTTAGCTGGGTACTCTAGCCAGTCATAAACAGGATATGATACTTCGTGTAGTTGATCTAAACTATTGAATAATTTCCTGATGGCGAAGAGTGCCTATGCAATTAAATCCAAGACTGCTTTTTCAAGGATAACATCCTTAGGTAGCTACATAGGATGAGAAAACTGAGGCAGAATACAGATGCCGGTAATGGAAAGATGTCTTCGATGTGTTCATCTTCTGTTACTGGGAGATGCTCCTGGAAGTCAAAGATACATATCTTGTTTTGAAGAGCTGTTAATGCTGAATGTTCATAACCAGCAATCTCTTCTAGTTTCAGAAATTTCGCCAATCTAGTCAAAAGGTAGTGTTTCCGCACATTCTGTGGGAGTTGCAGTGGGCTAAATATTTTTATTCCATTGGTTGCCATGAGGTAGCAGTATCTGCATCACCTGCCGGAATAAACAGTTGGTCCAGCGGAGAAGCAGACAGACAACATGTTTAAGTGAACGAGATTCCCTAAGCAATTAGAGATGATGGAGAATCAATCAGTGTAGGTAATTTTTGAGATATTTGCCAATGACTTTTGAAGATGTTTGCAAACGGCCAAAAGCTTTGCTGCATTTGAAGTTTTTTAGAGGAGTTAAGAGATGGACGCCAACTGTGGAAGGTGAAGCTTCTAATCTGATGTGTCTGCCCTCAAAGACATCAGTGTCAGTAACATCTGTCAGTGTAAAAAGTCTGTTGGAGCGAGAATGAATCGCTGTTCTTGAGACACTTTGTAAACAACAGAGCTGAGTAATGAGAAGTCATCAATACATCTTTGTGCTTAGTTAGCCTCTACAAAACAAGCCAAATTTTGTGCTAATTTTGCCATTACCAAAACCTATCACTCTATTGTCCTTTAAAGGTAATTTGCACAGGAGACTCCGCATACTCAGAGAGAGTGCAGGCAACGTGTTTGTAGAGAAGAGTCAAGTTTTGATGGCCATACACTAAAGTAGAATAATTGGTGCTTTGAAAAAAACCCACATGTGAGCAGGCACAATATATGCCTCTTACAAGAACCTGTAAGCTGTAGAGTTGAAAGAAGAAAAATACTTAAGTGGAGCTTCACCCTTTGTTCCAGAACAGCTAAACTGGGAAGTGGGTGGGGGTTCATGGAATTTTGTTTATATGCACACACATGTATCTGCTATAGGGTGCATAGTATTAAAAAAAATCAACCTCAGAATTAAGCACTGTGGTACGAACTAGTTACTCTTATGCAAAAAGGAGTTCCAGAGTAACAGTAAATCAGTGGCCACTTGCAGAATACGCACCAAATAGTTTTAGTTTTTACTTGGAAACATAAGCTGGATTTTATATCCGTTTTACTGAAGTATATTCTAGAAATTTCACCATGCTTCCCCAGGGTAGTTGGTGGAGGGTGATGCACAGGGTTGATGATGATGTGGTCACCAGGGTGTGTTCACAGCAGTCCTACTCCTAACCCGTCTGGTTGGTGGCCCTTGGTAGGTTGGCTTTTGCGTTGGGTGGCCCAGGCTACACACAGTGCTGACTTGCTGTGCACAGCCGGTGACTGACTGTATCAGTATTGTGAGCCTCAGCACAGCTGCTTTTAGGTGTTCTTTGTGAGGCAGGGATGGAGAGGACATTGCCAGGTGTACCCTTCTGTTGGCCAGCATGAAAGTGCGCTTCCGTATTCCTTCAGGGAAGTAGGGAAAATGCCTTGCCTTTCCTGGTTTAGGGTAATTTGAAGCCCACTGATCCAAGGGCCCTCATCTCCCTTAAGTCCTATGTGGTCCCTCTGGCCCTGAAACACTTTGGCAATTGCATAAGGTTCTTTAAAAAGTAATGGTCTATGAGAACTTCTGTCCTACCCAAGGCAGGAAGAGCTGACTTGCAGTTTACTGCAAAAGTAGCCCTTTATAATATTGAGTGTCTACAGAAAAGTGTATTAATGTCAGAGTGAGAGCAGCGTCTGCTGGGATAGTACCGGGGCGGCACTTGGGGTGGTTGGTATGAGAGGTAGTGAAGCCAAGCCCGTTTTGCCTGCTAAGGCATTTCCCACAGCAGTGGAAGCACTTGCCAGCTTTTCTTGGAACAGGGATCTGTCGGTTCAGTGCTTGGAGGGATCCCTTGGTAGGAGTGGGGAGTGGGTTATCAGGAACTGTCCCTTGGGAGTGAAAGAGGGAGCGGTCCAGAGTGACAGCAGACAAACGTGAGGTGCAGGCTGCTTTTTATCTGTCAGGCATACTAGCTGTAAAACCTAAAAACCTAACTTGAATTGTTCTTTATTCATTAGTGTATCAAACTAGTAATTGTTTGATATGTAGGTGCAAATCTAATAGGTATACTGGTAGTTCTCCATTTTGAGGGATTAAAATGAATGCGCAAGTACTTAGCATTTACTTATTCTGCATTTGAAATCTCAAATGTGAGAAGCTTTCAGACATGAAAAATTTACATTTCTCTGTAAAAAGCTTTTGCTTTAATAATCAAAGTACTCATCTGTTTGTTGGCTGAGTTTTCAAGCGTGTGCCAGTGACTAAACGTGACTTTTTTTTTTTATCAGCTTACAGCTTTGATGGCTTAATACCGATGATGAATGGAGGCGCTGAGGACGATGCTGACAATATGCACGTTGATAGAGAGTTTGCGGTTGTATCAGGTGGGAGTGGACAGTTTCCTGTTAACTACAACAACATTCAAATGGTCGAAGACACCAAACAACAGGAGAGTACTTCTGTTGGACCAAAAGAAATTGAAATATACACGGTTTCTGCAATGCAAACTCCTTGTCGTTGCAAGAATCAATATGCATTTTATTTTTAAGTATAAAACTTAGTCCTTTATTTTTGCACATTGTTGTCTAGAGTCTTGAAAACTATTGTATTCTTGTAACACCCATTTTATTGGGGGTTTGGTATACATCTAAAATTGGCTGTTTGACACAGTATGTTGTAATGGTGAAGGAGAAGGCTTATCAGTAGTTTATTACTATTTCATATAAACAGAAATCCACAATAGCTGTTTCACTTTTAACCTGGGTCTTGTATTACGTTGTGCCTTGCTTTTAGTTACTATAATTTCAGGTTAAAGGAGATTCAGGAAAAATTTAAAGTATTTGTTTCATTTCCATTAAATAGATATATTTGCTAGTAAGACTTGATAGGGAAACATATCTTAGTGCTTGTATATATGGCTTTGAAAATAACATATAACAAAACTATATTCAAAGTAGTTCAGCAAATCCTGTAAAGAGTAATCTAGACATATCCCACGTTTTCAGAACTTGTTCAGACCCAGTGACTTAAGTGCAGGATCCTGTTCTTTTTTAATGTTAATAAAAGATTACAGGTCTTAAACTAGTATTTGAAACCAGCGTACCTTGGAAAACAGTTTTTGTGTTTTATGCCAATCTTCATAAAACAGTTGAAATGTTACTAGTATTAGTGAATATTAATGCTCTAAGTCTTTTAAGGGCTGCTTAATCAAGATGCTTTTAGTAACCCCAGGATGTGTATGGAGTTGCGATTAAAACTATATTGGGTCAGTTTTTTCCGTGCACTTTGTAGGTAAAGGCATGGAGTTACTATGATAATGCATCATTGCATTCAGAAATTAATTTCTTACTTTAATTTGTTCTGTGATAAATATGTTTATGCTTTGTACCACTGATCAGATTCACCAAAGGAAATTACAATTAATAGATATTTTAATATATTAGGAATAAATATATACATACATATATATATAAAATCAGTACTTAAAAATTAGAAAGTTTTCTTATTTATGGAATAATGATTGTCTTTCATAAATATACTCTATTACTATAGGTGCTAATTTTTATCATTAATAACATTCTATAATTACTGCTAGAACTATTCATTACCTACTTTTAGATACTAACAGTAGTCCCATTTTTATTAAATCTAATTTGGCAAAGCCAACCTCTAGGGATTTCCTTTTCAACAGTTAAAATTTTGCACTTTTCAGTTAATAAACACTATATGAAATTGCTTCTGTGCGTTTTCATCACTGAAATATTCGCTTCGATGTCTCAGTGGGTTTGTGGGGAGGGGTTTCCCACTTTCAGTAAGAATTTGTGGTTAGTGAGTTTCAGCTCATGTGGGGACTAAACAGGAAACTCAAGTTGATACCTCCAGTGAGTTACAAATCGATCACGTTGCTTGGCACTGTGTGTTGCTGTGTGTGAGGTGTCAATATCCTAATCCGTATCTGAGATAACATCCGTGCGAAAGACTAGTAGAGAACCAAAACTTCAGGTTGTCAAACAGTGGTACTCATTCTGCGTCACTTCAACAGGAACCCGGTGTTCTACAGATGTGGGAAGTCATCCTCAGACTTACTGGCCCCAATTGGAAATAGGCAGTAAATGCAATCCTGTTTTGCACATTGGCTTATGCATTCGTTTATACATAAACGTATGTGCACGTATCCAGGGATAATAACAGAGTTTAAAATCTTTAAACGTCACTGTATAGATCTGTAGTGTCTACGTTTGCCTTGCTCATCTTTGCCAATACAGAAGTAAATTTTAGATGTCTTTTACCAGTAGGCGTTTTTAAGGCAGAAGGTGTCGCCCATTTTTTGTGCTAGAACGTTGAGTACCACTGCAAAAACCTGCATTTCAGGTGTCCTGATGAAATCTGTTTATGGAAATAAAAACTATTGTATTCGATACTAAATTCAAAGGAGAAATTGCTTTAAAACATTTGTCAGTGGGTTTTTGTATGCAGATTTTTTGAATTTTGTTTCCTACTACTAATCTTTTTTAGTCTTCTGTGCACTCTGCTGTTGCTACTGTATGGCATTTTGCATGTGGATTGTACAGATCTTATTATAAACTTATCATTAAATAAGCAAGCCTGCTTAGTATGTTATCTAGCAAGCTGCTAGATAAATTTAAGTACTTTCTGAATAAAGGAACTTTGAAATGTTTTATATTAGTACCCCAACATAACATTTCTTTATTTGACCTGTTTCAGTGTCTATTGTACTGTGAGAGTTACTGCTAATAAGAAAAAAAATAAAAAATAGCGGCGGATAAATTACAGCTGAAAAATAATAAATAAACCACCCAGCAATCTTTCACCCTCTCACAGAGACTTAGTTCTTGTATGTACATAATCTCATCCCAGGAGGGTATTGCACGTCGAAAGTTGCCTTTTATTCCACCTTTCGAAACGCTGCCCCGAATATTGTTTGCTACACTTACTTCATGCAGTCAAACAAAACAAGTTCTGGGAAGTTCCCATTGTCTTTGCGAAGACATAAATATATGCCTATTTACACATTGAATGTAGGTAGATAGTTGGATTTTCAACATAAGAATCCGGGCTACAAGCTTATTGCTTTGAACTACCTGTACTGTTACAAATAAACAAAGGGTAGATTTCTCTTCAGAGCTGCGTACGGAAACATTTTTTTAAATAAGTGGAGTATAATGGAGACGTTTTGATGTATTTCGATTTCCTCTTAATTGTTGGTGACAGGTGTATCTCTCAATGCAGATCTGAATAGCAGTAGCTCCATACTGAATGCACTGACAAATGGATGTGCCGTCAATGGACGTTTGGATTTCGCCACCGCACAGCAGCTCAGCGAGATGGATGCCAGGCGTGAGGAGTGTTTGACATTGACGCCTAATGGAATAATGCCTGGAATAACTTCTCCCAGCAGGCATCGGGTTCACACCAGTAACGGCGCTGAAGAACCGGAAAAAGCCATGAATAATTCCACCGATATGTGTGGGTCTCTGCACCTGAACGGAAGCCCGAGCAGCTGCGTTTCTAACCGGCCGTCGTGGGTGGAAGACCCTGGCGATACTTTGCACTATGGACACTATCATGGTTTTGGGGATACGGCTGAAAGCATCCCCGAACTTAGTAGTGTCGTTGAGCATTCCAATTCTGTCAAGGTCGAACAGAGATACGACAATACTGTCCTAGGTACAATGTATCTGTATCACGGTTCCTAGACGAATGACCTTTATATCAAACGCAGATTGAAATGGCTACCAAATGAAACTGGGGGGTACAGAATCCTCACATAGCATTAAATTTGGAGATTGCAACTTATTGCTATTTTTACACTTTGTTTATATGAAAAGTCAACCTTTAATTTGACAGCCTTATACAATAGTTGTAGTTTGTTGCATGTATGGGGCTTATTTAGTGATAAAATAGGTGCTGTTATGATGGAATGTTTATCATTTTCATTTTTTTATTATGGAATGTTCTGGTTTTGTATTTTTTTATTTCTAAGCTTGTGAACACTATCCCTTTTTAGAGCTGTTTTCCCTTTTACTAAAACGATGTTTAACGGAATTTTGTGAAGAAAACGTTACGTGTGCGCATCACTTAGGAGTAACGATTTTACTTTCCATATCTTCTGCTGAAGCTATGGTAGCAATATCAATGCCAGCTATCACTATGCAAGGTTGAAAGTGGCAATCTTCTGGAGCTTCTCTGACTTTCTAGTTTGTACGTTTCTTTGGTATAATTAGATGTTCATCTTTAGATTTTTTGAACCAGTTGTTTCAAAACACGGAGACGGAGTCGGAAGAGTTACCGTTTCACTTTTCTGTAGCGTAGAAGTGCTTTTTTGTTGTCGTTGGGCTCTTTGCATTATTGAGTGGGAAAGTGGGCTGCCTTCGTTCGGTCGCAGTGGGGTGTGCCTTGGGTTAGCTCTGAATTTGTGGTGGTTTCCATTGGCTTCTCTCCTTTATATGTACGCTTGATATTTTACCATAGCTCACAGACCGGAGGCATGTCGGCGCTGTTTCTGCTTTGTACGCGGTTTTGCTGTTACTTGTTATAGAATTTGCCGAGTCAAAATATTTGAGTTTGACTGTCTTGGATATACATTTATTGTCTAGGTTTTTTTCAACATATGCTTTGAAAATGTAATGTTGTGTACTCTTTGGTCTATGCTCACGGAGAATACATTGTATTTAAAGCTTAATACACAAATCAGAATTCATATAAGTGCACTATATGAGCACTAATAATATAAGTTGCTGCTTTGTGTTATGATAAGTGAAGAGTGGGGAAGAATACGGTAAATGAGATAAGCCTTCTGAATTGTGTTGATCTTTCTGTTCTTGTTTTGTTTAAAAAGGGACCTTTACAAATTGGATTTAAAAAGATAATAAACAGACATATTACATTGTATCTGAATATTTTGTTTAGACATCATTATTATTTTATTGCCAATTTGAGTGAGTCTTTAGTAGTTTTTACGTCACGTTTCTCTGTGATCTTTCTCAGTGCAACCATGGAATTTCTTGGTTTTGTCAGTCAGCATATGAAAACAAATGAGAACAGCCCAGTAATTTGTCCTCGATTGAATTACAGAAACACATGCTGGATATTCTGTGTATGAAGGGTGTAGCAGCCTTGAACTGCAAAAACTGATTAAAATCCTGGCTGTCTGGTTTCCATGAAAATTATAGTCTCCTTCGACCATTTTTAGGCAGAATGCTAGGGGCTGCAGAGAAGTTAGTGTTTGAAATACACTCCATGAGGTTCACTCTCTGCGCACGAGATACTCACAGTGTATCCAGGCTCCAGAGAGTAGCACTGGTAGGGAAGTTAGCAAGTCCTTTTGCAAAGAGTTGGCCAGGTCGGCAAAACTCCTCGGCGCCTTCTGGAGACAAACGAGACCGAAGCGGAACCTGACTTGAGACGTGTTGTTCCTGGCACAACCACCCACTTGTGCTTCCTCAGCTGCACCCGGGCCCTGTTTTGGGTCAATTTAATTTGCTGATGCAGAGCCCAGAGGCTCGTATGCCACTGCCATCATGCCAACGTGAGATACTGACTTAAATTTACTGTGGCGTTTGGTTTGGGGATCTTTTTAGTCTTTGCTGAGTGCGCCTGAGTTAACGGATTCTGCTAGCGGACGGCAGTGCCGAGCGGTTTTAGTTACGTCTTGCTCTGCCATTCCTGGAAAGATTGCCGGGTTTTAAACGCCTGGGGTTAAATTCTCACAAGTTTTTTTGTTTGGCAAGGGCAGTAGTATTGTAGGACTGTTCGTACCCGCATCTTTTGTCTGAGTCTAGATTTTTCAAGGCTTTTATCAACCGAATGTTACTTCAGGTGATGCTTTGTCTTACTGTTGTCTTGATTCTGGGAATGGTTCTCTGAAACAAGTTCACATTCCATCTGCCTAAATTTAACTCAGTAGCACCATGAATTTCATATGCAATACATAACCAGTTATCCTCTTCCTCCTCCTGGCTGTCTTTTTGGCTGAGACTCAATTTTGTGTGGAATTTCAGTGTATTTCAGGTTTACATAGAAGTTTTTGCTCTAATTCTCCCCTAAATGTAGTTGTTTTCCTATTTTGTTTTTCAAAACCATCTGCAAAGTTCCGGCAGAGATATAAACAAATACAGTTTCAGGTGGTATTTCAATGGGGAATATTTCTGATGGAGTAATTGAAGTTTGGCAGTGTTGGAAAAGGGAAGCGTTATACAGCTTTATACATAGTTACAGTCCTTAATAATTTTAACAACTGATCCCCTGGTTCCAGATAAAATATTAGGCTAAACTTACAAGAGCTGTGAAAGAAGGCTATCATGCAAGATAGATACTAGTTCAAGATGAGATGCTGCTCATCTTAAAGACCCACTGCAAGTGCTTTCAGATCTTGTGAACTTTTCTGAGCATTGGTCTTGGACCTGACATCCTTGTTCAGACTCGCATTCAGTAAGCTAGCAAAAGACTCCGTAAGTACATTTTACTAAACTTCTTTAACAAGCAATCATCATCCCTCTGCAGTCTGAAACCGAACCCCAGCTTAATATTTATAGCCAAGTTATAAATCACCACAGAGCTTCTGCCATTCCAATTACAGATGTAATACATCCAAAAGCCTTGGAAAACAACCAAGTAAGTCCTGAGCTCAAAACAAACCCCAAATCTAAAAGGAATCCTCACTGTCCCGTAGGTTGGAGCATCCACTGTGCTGCTGCCACTGGCCTGGAGGATGCAGATCCACAGGGCAGGAAATCTTTGAGACCCAGCCGAACCAAAAAAAAAAAAGCAGAAAAAACACCCACAACGATGTCTTGTGTAAGCAGGGTTTACTGTTCCTGGCAGCTGGTAACTACATTTCTGCTACACTGCTTAATGATTCCCAGACATTTCACACCTCTCCTTCCGTTCCCGGAGTTTCCTCTCTCAAAGTGGTGACTGGTTGTTTACAGGCAAGGATCAAAAGAACGCTGGTTTAAAGCAGATGGTTTATTTTTAAAAGCATATCTGGCTGTGATATTAAAAAAAAAATAAAAGATACAGTGCAATAGTTCATAACAGTACCATATGCTTGGAGTATCCAAATTAAAAGCTTTGCCATGCTCATAATTGTACTTCTTCTATAAATAGTGCCCCTCCAAAAGCATAATGAATGTTACTGGTGATACAAGAAAAAACGTTAAGCATCCTCTCTCCCTCCAAAAAGCACAAGTTTTAATGAGTAATTTCTGTTTGCTTCTGTGTGACTCAGCTGCACATACAGGACTTGATAACCACTTCCAAATCAGTAGGAATTAGCCTCGACTGGCTGAAGTGCAACCAGGGGAGACGCGTGTTTGACACTGAAAAGGAGTCCCCCAGCTCGACCATCAATCTGAGCAGTGTTCCACAAGGAAAATAACCGAATACCTAAAGCTGAACAAGATACCAAGCTGCATTAATTATATTTCTTCTTGCCAAGATAGAATTGTAAGTTGAAGAGGAAAGATAGCGCTAGTCTGAGTCTCTCTTCCTGCAAAAGCAGGATGTAATCTTACTACAAAGGAAACACCAAGTATTAATAGAGCTCCTCTCTTGACGTTACTGAAAGGTCAAGCACTGTTTGTTGGTGCTGGCCAGCAGCTCAATGTCACCGAAGACACATGTGCTTCCCTGTGATGACCACAAACTTAATGGTGTTGTGGGTTTTGCCAAGTTCCATGTGGAGGAGAAGTTGAGGGTTTGTTTGCTTTTATTTTATTTTAGTCTTGCTGTTTCTAAAAGGTGGTGTGAGTTGGAACAATTCCTCAGTAATGTTAAGCACATAGCTTGGAATGTCAGTTTATTCTGGTTTTGAGACATAGTATAATACAGCATATTTTCTAAAAAATCAGTACCAAAAAGACAAATTATACAGATTGAGTAGCTCTACAAGAGGTGGGAACACTCCAAGAACTGTATTGTAGGAGCTAAAGAATCACCATCATCCATGCTGATATGAAAAGAAACAAGGATCTGAGCTACAGCGGCAGCACCCACCGTAATATTTTCAAGGGGCCTGCAGAGCTGCTGTTTCCTAATGTGGATGGCTGCCTATAGCCAGGCACAGTTAGTATGGAAGATTTGTTCTGCAGTCTGCAGGAGGAATGGGGTAAACGGTTTTGAGTAGTCAGAGAACCACAGAGTGATTTGGGTTGGAGGGGACCTTAAGGATCATCTAGTTCCAACCCCCCTGCCATAGGCAGGGACACCTCCCACTAGACCAGGTTGCTCCAAGCCCCATCCAGCCTGGCCTTGGACACTTCCAGGGAGGGGGCATCCAGAGCTTCCCTAGGCAACCTGTCCCAGTGCCTCACCACCCTCACAAAATAAGAATTTCTTCCTAATATCTGATCTAAATCTACTCTCTTTCAGTTTGAAACTGTTACCCTGTGTCCTATCACTACACTCCCTGATAAAGAGTCTTTCCTGGAGGCCCCATTTAAGTACTGAGAGGCCACTATAAAGTCTCACCAGAACCTTATCTTCTCCAGGCTGAACAACCCCCACTCTCAACCTGTCCTCATAGGGGAGGTGCTCCAGTCCTCTGATCATTTTTGTGGCCCTCCCCTGGACCTGCTCCAACATGTCCATGTCATTCTTATGTTGGGGGCCTCAGAGCTGGACACACAACTCCAGGTGGGTTCTCATGAGAGCAGAGCAGAGGGACAGAATCACCTCCCTTGACCTGCTGGCCATGCTTCTTTTGATGCAGCCCAGGATGTGACTGGCCTTCTGGGCTGTGAGAACACATGGCTGGCTCATGTCCAGTTTTTCATCTACCAACACCCCCAAGTCCTTCTCCTCAGGGCTGCTCTCAATCCACTCCTGTGTTTGTGCTCGGGGTTGCCCCAGCCCAGGTGCAGGACCTTGCCCTTGGCCTTATTGAACTTCAGGAGGTTTGCATGGCCCCCCCTCTCAAGCCTGTCGAAGTGCCCCTGGATGGCATCCCTTCCCTGCAGCATGTTAACTGCACCACACAGCGTGGTGTTGTCAGGCAGCACTCCTGGAAGCCACTCTGCAGGACAATTTTTGCTCTGAAGGACTAATTTCAAAGTAGAGGTCACATCCTGCACTGTTCAGTATCGTATGCAATGAAAGGGGCAGGTGAAAGAATGACCACGGAACCTGGCAGACCCTTGTCTGCCCTGGGACCAGCAGCCCCTCCCAGTCCCCAGTGCCACACCTCGCTTGCTGAGGACAGAGCAGTCTCAGTGGGCACATCAGCTGCAACGGCCCTGTATTCCTGAAGATGTTGATACACCGCTCAGATCTGCACTGCACAGCCCCCAGCCAGGCGTGTGCCAGCTGGAAGCCCTGTAACAAGGTTAGCGTGGCATCAAGCCCAAAATAATAAGCCCTATTTATTAGGCCTTTGGTACTCTGCCTGAGGTTAAGCCTGCTGTGGCCTCGATAGTAAAAAGCAGGACAGCTGAGGGAATAATCCAGCAGGAGAACAAGATCATCCCTCAGACTCAATTTGCAGAGTGGAAGAGCTGGGATATGCACAGGTGACCTCTTGCACAGGACAGCTGGGTAGCGTGAGACTAAAGAGAGCGAACATGAATGTGATTGCCTCATCCTGAAAGACGCTCGGAAAATGACCAACAAACTAACTGTGCAATAAGGGAGTAGGCATCCTTGGTATGGGATGCTCTTTGAGATGGAGATTCTTAAAGATCCACCAGAGCTTTTCCAGCATGGAAAGACACATCTAAAAATACAGTGATGAGATGATATGAGATCCAGTGATGAGAAATGCAGAGATTTCAGGAACTGGAAGAGAACACACACCAAGAAGCAAAAAAAGGTTATGAAAACAGCCTGAGAGCAAAGTAGTAACCTCTTTGCCATGGATGGCAGCAACAATTTTATTATTGTTAGTTTTTAAATTGTTGTGA